ACCAGTGCGACGCACCGGCGAGCTACAACTCTGCAACAGCGGCCAATGGCATTACCCGGCAAACTGTGGCTGGCTGTGGCCATGGAGTATGGTCAATCCGGGACCTGGGTGAACTTAGGACCCGCAAAGATACCTCTGGTGTCCCGGTCGCGGTTGCCGAGCTTGGCTAGTATGAGATAGCGCGCAAGATTGTGATGGTGCAGCGTCCAGTTGACGACGTTTTGCTCGAGCCCTTCAATGTTGATTCTCCTACCGTGGTCTACGTGGTTGCGGTATTTTGACGCTACCTGGATTATGTCCCTCAATTGGCGTTCATCGACGGCAACGCCGCTGCCTTGACCCAACTTTGCCTTTTGCACCGCCTTGATTAACAGTTGGTCAAATGTAGGCCCTGGAGGGCCAAATCGGTAGGATATGCCCAAGCCGTTCCACCAACGAGTCAGTGCTTGCAAGGTTGACTGTGCCGCGACCAAAGCTTGACCAACGGGGCTGTCGTCAAAAACGCGCTGTGCTTCGACATAGTGGTGCACGGCGTTTCTGAGGTGCTCACGGCTGTTTGGCGCGGCGTATTGGTTCCAAAATTCTTGGAACAGATCGGGCCACTTTTGGAAGTCTGCTGCAACCCATGTGTTTCTACCAAACGAGCTTGGTGAAGACAGCTTGCCTACCCACGCCAGCTTTATGGTGGGGTCTCCTTTGCCGAAGGTAATGGTCGCTTGTTCGCTGCTTGTGTAAACCCCCAATATGTCCGCGCCGGAAACGTCTTCAAAGCCGGGGTGCCCTTGGAGGGAGTCGTTGAGTTCATCAAGATCCATGCGGCCGCTGCGTTCTGATGTAATAAATTTGCGCACTGCGTTCAGAACTCCGTTGGGCGTTTCGCCTTCGCGCAAGGCCAGCTTCTTTTTTACCGTGCTAAACACGGGTTTGCCCACAATCGTGGGAATATCGACCCATCTGCCGCATTGGAATGACAAAAATTGCTTCAGGGCGATTATGATGCTGTCGTCTAAATCGTCGCCTAAAGCAAAGGGTGAACCATCTCTTTGTGACAAATTGACGTGGTGCGGTGGCTGGACTTCTGTGTTGCCATCCTCGGAGGCCGCTGTTAGCTCAATGTGCCAGTCGCCTGCCTCCAGTTTCAACACTCCGGTTTGTTTTTTGAACCCTCGGAGGAATAGATTTTCAACGGCAGTGTTCTCTTCCGGAATACCCACCGTCAATTGGCCCAGATGGACGTCTGGTAGCCCCGCGACGGTCATGGCCACTGACTGCAATTCGCTATCAGGGTCTCCCAATCGTCCCTGTATTTCACATTTGTAAGCGGTTACCGCCGGCATCGGTACGCTGTGCCAAGTGCGGGCTTTCGGGCTGCTGCGGATCCAACATATCGGTATTTCGACTCGCGTGTCTTTTAAAATCAGCTTGGTTTCCAGTCGTTTGAATCCCATCCCCAACCATTCGAGAGACTCGGCAGCGTCGTAACCAAAGTATTCCGCAGTCAAATAGCCGCTGTCGCCGACGCTGAACATCGCCGTCCCATCTTCGTGATGGCGAGTTCCATCAAACCACAACTCGGCGGGGTACGGAATTTCCATACCATGGATTTGGATGACGTCTCGCAACACTCGCGCGTTAACGACGTCAGAGACATCTCGATGGATGTGCATTTTCGTATCCTCCCTGTGATTTGGCCTTGCCCGGAGGCTCGTCCGCCCGCCGCTGATTCTCCACCAATTCGGTGACTCCAGAATACACTGGCCCGCGCTCGCCGGCCGTCGTGCCCAGGCTACCTGACACAACCCGGCGGTGTCACCGGAGCGGGTTTCGGCAGAACAGACCCGGAAACCTCTGGAAATCCCGGGCATTGTTGGTATGCACGTCCGCGCCATTTTCCAGGGCCAGAGCGACGATGGTTAGGGGGACCACCCCAGCCCCAACCAGCAAGGGAGGGGTCCATCCCATGACAGGGTTAATGCGCCCGCATACCCCGCTAAATAGCCAGTAGCGCAGCAAATTTCGGAGTGTTTCCGGAAGCTCAGGAAATGCGCGGAAAGCCAGCAAACGGTCGGAAGCGCGGGAAAAGTGTAAAACCCCAATCCACCGAAGAGATGAGTGTCGGGGCGGGTTGAAGGGATAAGAAAGTGCTCCTGTGTTCGGGGATAATGGTTTGTGAGACGGCAAACCCACCCCGAAACAGGAGCACCCAACAGATGCTACCACCGAGCACCCCGACCGCATCCAGATCGCCTTCGACGACCACCGCCTGGTCAGCAATGCTGGGTTGATCCTTCCGTCCACGCTGGCTTTGCATCTGGGCCTGCCCCAACTGGTTGATCGGCACCTGGACCTGGGCCGTGCCCCAGGCGGGGCCAATCCCGGCGACAAGATGATGACGCTGGTGGCCTCTGCCCTGGCTGGGGGCGACTGCATCGACGACGCCGACGTGTTGCGCACCGGCGGGACGGCCAGCGCCATCGGCTGCGTGGTCAAGGCGCCATCCACGCTGGGGACCTTCCTGCGCAGCTTCCGGTGGGGCCATGTCCGCCAGCTGGATCGGGTGAGCCGGGAGCTGCTGGCCCGGGCCTGGGCGGCTGGGGCGGGACCCGGCGACGGGCCGTTGACCATCGACCTGGACTCCACCATCTGCGAGACCTACGGACTGGCCAAGGAGGGGCGCGCCGCCACGGCTACACCGGCCAGCGGGGCTATCACCCGCTGCTGGCCGTTGCCGCCGGCACCGGCGACGTGCTGATGGCCCGACTGCGCGAGGGCCGGGCCAACACCGCTCGGGGCGCCGCCCACTTCCTGCGTGAGACGGTGGGCCGGGTGCGCTACGCCGGAGCCAGGGGACCACTCACGGTGCGGGCCGACAGCGGCTTCTACACCCACGCCTTGGTGGCCGTCTGCCGCAACATGGATGTCCGCTTCTCCATCACCATCCGCCAGCACGCCCGCCTGCGCAATCTCATCGAGGCCATACCCGAGACGGACTGGACGCCCATCCCTACTGGATGGACGGCGCCGCCGACGTGGCCGAGACCACGTATCTCCCCTTCGATACTGAGCCCGACGCCGCGCCGGCGCGCCTCATCGTCCGAAGGGTGCAGCCCGCGCCCGGTTCCCAGTTGGCCCTCTTAGCCGACTACAGCTATCACGGCTTCATCACCGACCGGGAGGGGGATACCCTGGATCTCGAGGCCGACCATCGCCGCCACGCCGAGATCGAGAATGCCATCCGCGACCTCAAGTACGGCGTGGGGCTCAACCATCTCCCCTCGGGCCGTTTCGCCGCCAACGCCGCCTGGCTGGCCGTACAGGTGATGGCCCACAACCTGGCTCGCTGGACGGCGCGCATCGGTCTGGGTCAACAGGTGGTAACCACCAAGACCCTGCGGCGGCGGTTCTTCTCCCTCGCCGGACGGCTCACCCGCTCGGCCCGCCGCCTCACCCTGCATCTTCCCCAGCGTTGGCACTGGGAAACCCAATTCACTCACGCCCTGGCCCGATTCCGCGCCATTCCTCTACCAGCCTGTCCAGCTTGACGGCGCGCCGTCGACGCCCGACCCGTCCACCGGACAATCCAGGGGCTGTCCCGCAGATTCATGCCAGCCCAGTCCGCGAGTGTCGCTTCTGGCATCCGGCCTGGCCGATTTCGCCTACTGCGCCACCGCGCGACGCCGCCTTGCCGCCAGCGTGGCCACCTCGCACTACCCTCAACCCCATCTGTCGGAATCAGGCCTGGTCTGTTCGCCTTCCCGTACCCATCATCCCCCGTGTCAACGCCAGCACCGTATCCCTTCGGTGGATTCGGGGTAAGGAAGCGATCTACGATGATCCTCTTCGTCGGGTTGGATGCACCCGCTGTTCATGGACTTTCTACGTCGCCTGCCCGTTGTTCGCGCTGACTACGGCTACTTCATGCGCTGCCCAGTCCTGGCTTCGGAAAACCGCCCCGACAGCATGATGACGCAGCTGCCCGCCAGCGGCGAATGGGAGGGGTGAAGCCTGGGACGCGGTGGTTGACTTCCCTTACCGGAAGTGTGGAACAGGCGGAGCTGCGCCATAGTGCCGGCATACCGTATTGATACCTCAGGTGGTTCGCCTAATATTTGTTACGTAAACCGGTTCGCGCGGGGTTCTGCGGCGGCGGAGTGATTCCGGTTTCCGCCGCCCGGTTTTCCGGCCCCCGAGATTACGATACCCGTAGCAGCGGTTGCTTGGAATCCGCCGCCCTGGGCCTATGCCGCGCCGGACTGACGACGGTTTTCGCCAGAAGGGCGGGTTCGCCGGAGGCGCTGGCTGGCTGGCCCTCTTTCGATACCCGCTGCATCCTGATCATCGAGTCGGGCGGATCGTCACCGGGCGGCCGCAGGGACAAGATGGAATGCCGGCGCGACGGTAATGCCTCGGGCAGATTTTTGCAGATCGCCGAGCAAGGAAAGGGTTACTGACCGGGAGGGTTTCGGCGTGGGTCAACGGAGGTGCGGTGATGGGCAGGTGGCGACGACGGCTGCGTTGCCGGCCAGGGGCCGCACCGCGTTGCGCAGGATGCTTTCCCCAACTCCGGCTGAAGTTCACCGCCTTCGTCGGGGCGCGCCGTATGGCCGACAATCGGCCTCACGTTTGAACTGACCATGTTGATTCACCATTTTGAACCGTCCCTTTGGAACACTACAGCATATTTCACACGCAATCTAAAGACTGAGCCCATTGGAAACAGGTCTCCCGTGGTTGAGAATTGATATCGAATGCTACGGGAGGGTCGCTGGGCGGGTCCAGGCAAGGTGGAAGCAATGCCCAGGTACGTTTGCCAGCGCACTGCGTGCGACCACGAATACGATCCGCGGGAGAGTCTCGGAGAATATTTCATCCTGCGCCCGTGATTTTCGAAGGCTCCGGTTTTTGCACCCCGGATTACGCACGCAAACAGTGAAACTCGCAGGGTCGGCACCACCGCATCAGCCAACCATACGAAACACCATAGTCCAAGGAGGCATCAAATGGCCACGTTCACACCGCTGGGAGAGCGCATCGTCATCAAGCCAATGGAGCAGGAAGCCCAGACGAAGGGCGGTATCCTGTTGCCTGACACCGCCAAAGAGAAGCCGCAGGAAGGCGAGGTCATCGCCGTGGGCTCCGGTCGCGTCGCTGACGACGGTTCCCGCATCGCCATGGAACTGTCGATTGGCGACAAGGTCATCTATTCCAAGTATGCCGGTACCGAGTATGAGGATGACGACGAAGATTACCTGATCATGCGCGAGTCCGACGTGCTCGCCAAGATCGGCTAATTCGAACCGGTTCATCTCACCAACCCAGACCATCACACCCCAAACTAGGAGAACTCAATGCCCGCAAAGAAGATGGTGTACTCCGAAGACGCTCGCAAGTCGCTGCGAAATGGCATCGACACCCTGGCCGACTCGGTCAAGATTACCCTGGGCCCCCGCGGCCGCAACGTGGTGCTGGACAAGAAGTTCGGCCCGCCGCAGGTCTGCTCCGACGGCGTGACCATCGCCAAGGAAATCGAGCTTCCCGACGCCTTTGAGAACATGGGCGCCCAGCTCCTGAAAGAAGCCGCCACCAAGACCAACGACGCCGCCGGTGACGGCACCACCACCAGCATCGTGCTGTCCCAGGCCATCATCCACGAAGGCTTCAAGAACGTCACCGCCGGCGCCAACCCCATGGCCATCAAACGCGGCATTGAGCGCGCCGTCAGCGAAATCGTAACCGAGCTCCAGTCCATGTCCCAGCCCGTGGAAACCCGCGAGCGCATTGGCCAGGTCGCTTCCCTCTCTGCGCACGAAGATGCAATCGGGGAGACCATCGCCGAATCCATGGAAAAGGTTGGCAAGGACGGCGTGATCACCGTGGAAGAGTCCCGCGGTCTTTCCGACGAGATTGAGTACGTGGAAGGCATGCAGGTCGACCGCGGCTACATCTCTCCCTACTTCATCACCAACAGCGACCGCATGGAGTCCGCCATCGACGACCCCTACATCATCATCACTGACAAGAAGATCTCCGCCGTTGCCGATTTGGTTCCCACCCTGGAGAAGCTGTTGCAGGCCGGGCAGAAGAACGCGGTCATCGTCGCCGAGGACGTGGACGGGGAAGCCCTGGCCACGCTGGTGGTCAACAAGCTCCGTGGCATCATGAACGTGCTGGCGGTCAAAGCCCCCGGTTTCGGCGACCGCCGCAAGGCCATGGTCGAAGACATTGCCATCCTGACTGGCGGCACCGTCATCAGCGAAGAGACCGGCCGCCGGCTGGACTCCGCGACCATCGAGGACTTCGGCCGCGCCCGCCGCGTTTCGTCCACCAAGGACGACACCACGATCGTGGAAGGCCACGGTTCCGAAGACGGGATCCAGGCCCGGATCAACCAGATCAAGGCCCAGATCGAAGACACCACCTCCGAGTACGACCGTGAGAAGCTGCAGGAACGCATGGCCAAGCTGTCCGGCGGCGTTGCCGTCATCAAGGTCGGCGCCGCCACCGAGATCGAGCTCAAGGAGCGGAAGGCCCGCGTGGAAGACGCTTTGTCCGCCACGCGTTCCGCGGTTGAAGAAGGCATCGTGCCCGGCGGCGGAGTTGCCCTGGTTCGCGCCCAGCGCGCCCTGGACAACGTCACCAACCTGACCGGAGACGAGGTGGTCGGCCTCAACATCATTCGGCGCTCGCTGGAGCAGCCCCTGAAGGTCATCGTCGAGAACGCCGGTGGCGAGGGCGCGGTTGTATTGCACAACGTCCAGGACCAGTCCGACGACTACGGCTACGACGCTGAGCTCGGCGAATTCGGCCCCATGCTCGAGCGTGGCATCATCGACCCGGTGAAGGTGACCCGGTCTGCTCTGCAGAACGCCGCCTCCGTGGCCGCGATGGTTTTGACCACCGAGTCCATGATCACCGAGATTCCTGAACCCATGCCGGCAGGCGCTGGCGCTCCTCCGATGGACTTCTAAATCTCCGTCCGGAAACTGAAGGGTATCCGCACCGGGGTGGTCACCGTGACCACCCCGGTGTTTTTATTGAAGCAATTTCGCTACACGGCTTTGAGCCTGTGAGTTGCGGATTGCAGTCCCAGCGTGTCCAGGGCGGCGGGAATTGTACTCCACCGCGGTGGCTTTTCATCTGACCCGCGGTCAGTCGCCGGAAGTTTAGTGCCGCTTGCGCCTTACGCCCGCAGAAGCATGGGAACTCGAATGGCCTCTCCACTGCGGGAGGTGCTGCGGTCGAACCGGCATCCGCCCGCAGTGGACTTGGCGCGCGTCCTGGGTGTCGGCTAACATTCCCGCCCGCCCGAAGTTCACGTAATGGGCCTTGACGAACCGCGACGGGTATCAAAAAGGGGCATTGCGGCCACCTTATCCAACCAATGCGCGTGAGCCTCCGCAAGACAACATAATGTCTACAACGGCGATCAAGGTTGCCGAAGAGCTTGGTTACGCATTGGTCGGCGAAACCATGCCAGACCCGGATGCGACGCCGGAGTTGGGTTTGGTTGGTAATGGCCTCAAGCGCCAACGTCTCTCAGTGAGGCAATGCGCTTATTGTCGTTAATCAAGGATCTACATTTCCCGTTGGTCAGGACGTCGACGCTTGGTAAATTTATCGCCGGAACCCAGTGATCTCCATTTGCCACCGCTCCAGCAGTGCCCGCTTCTCCCGCATATTCGACAGCAACGCCTGCTCGGACGTCCTAACCCACCAACCTCAACCGACCCGGATTCTACTCAATGCCGATGCGGGTTTCGCCCTGGTTTAGTTGGAAAGCAGCTCGGTGGCGGCAAGGTCGGATATGGCGGCGTCGAACCGTGCCAAGGTGTTGTGCAGGTACACGGTGGCCCGCTCACTTTCGAAATTGCAGTAGCCGCCCGTGATTATCCAGAAAACAAAGATTTCCAGCATCGACAGCCGGTAATCATGCCAGCACTCTTCAAACGAGTAGCCGCTCACGCCATTGTCCAGCAGGACGGTGTGGTAGGTGCGCAGCAGGTCCAACTCCACCTCCCCACGTTGCCGAGAGGGAAACGCCTCGCTGATGAAGGTGGCGACGTCGCAGGCGCCCCGGCCGCGCACGCAGAACTCCCAATCGAAAACCACCAGCGGTTGAGGATGCGCGTCGTTAGAGAAGAAGCAATTGTCGAGGCGATAGTCTCCGTGGACAATCGTCCTTGGGGACTTGGTAAGTAGGGCCTTTATCCTGGGCACCTCCAGGCTCAGTCGGTCCCCCAGCCGGCGCAAACCCGGAGGCATCCCGTCACCGGCCTTCTCGATCAGAGACTTCCACGCCCCGGGGTATATCTCCTGGTAGGAGCCGGCTTCGGCATCCTTCAAAGGCATCCAGTGCAAGCCGTCCAAGCGAGAGCTCTCCCACCAGGACGCCTGGAATCTGGCCAGCTGGACGATGGCGGCCCGGGCCTCGGCCATGGAGCAGCCGGCCACGCTATCGCCCTGGCGGGCGTGGCTCATGTCCTCCAGCAGCAGAACCGTGTGGCCGGTGGATGGGTCCACGCCGGAGTGGTAGCAACCAGGGGCCGGCAGGTGAGGGTTGACTGCCAACTCCTGATAGAACCTGACCTCGCGTCGGTTCTGCCCCAGCCGGTCGAAAACCGCTCTCAACAAAGGGTCCGCGGACGGCAGCTTGACGATCATGGCGGCTGGAAGATTGGGAAGGTCCGCGTCGTAGTCCAGCGTCACCCGAAACAGCCGGTTCATAAACCCCTTGCCCTCGGCGAGGGTCTCGGCCGAGTATCCGGTGACGGAAGCGCCTCCCGCGGCCCCTCTGCTCTGAAGGGCTTCGGTGAGCCAGACCAGCGTGATGTCCCGGAGATCTTTGGGAACCCTCAGGCCGCCCATCTCAGTCCTTGCGGTCACCGCGTCGCTTCTGCGAAACCCGTGTGCCTAACCCCTCACCCGTCCTTGCGTGCGAAAAGGACACAATGGTCCATCGGCTTGGGGTCCTTGAAGTACATTACGCCGCCCAGCTTGTCGCCTTCCGCCGGAACCACGCTGAGGCCCCGATCGATCAGGAGACCGAGCACCTCACCCGGGTCGTAAAGCTGGAAGGTCCGGTCGGCACCGTAGTCCCGGTCGTAGACCGTTGCGATGCCGCTCCCGGTCTTGAACATAAGCTGGAGCACGCCGCCGGCTTTCAGGAGCCTGGCAAACTCGGGCAGCGTGACCCCCAGGGCGGTGTCCGGGGCGATGTGCTGGATGACCGCGTTGCACAGGATGAAGTCGAAAGAGAGATCCGGATGGACAAGAGGCTGCCGAAGGTCGGTTACCGACACCCTATTGGCGATCTCGGGGTGAAGCCGGCGCGCTTCCTGGATGTTCTCCTCAACAGCATCCACCCCTTGAATGTCGTACCCCTTCTGCCAGTAGAAGAAGACATCACGGGCTCCCGCGCCGCAGCCGGCGTCCAGCCCCCGGGATCCGGCGGGAACCAACTCCTGGAGGCGGTCCATCAGGGCCGTGTCGCCCGTGAGCGCCGGGTGAGACATGTCGGTGTAAACCGACTGGATGAAGTTGTGGCTTACCGCGGCGTAACGCCGCGCGTGATCGCGATAAAAGGTCTCAGAAAAATCTGCACTTTGACTCATCGTGGTAACACCATCCAACCGGTCGTAGGCACACACGCCGAAGATGTCGATGAACTGTCCGGTCATGACTTCGGGCGCGTGAGCCGTCAGGTAAAGGGCTGCCTGCGCTATCTGTTCCTCCGTTATCCAATCGGGGTTTCCCTGGAGATCATACGCCCTGGCCATGTCGGTATCCACCCAGTCGGGATTGATGCCGTTGGCCCGGATGCCGTGGGAACGCCGGGAGTGGGCCAGCGAGGCGGTATAGCCCACCACGCCCCATTTTGACGTTGCATAAGCTCCGTAATCGCCCTCAGGCAAACGGCCGGATGACGACCGATGTTGACGATAACGCCCTTCTTCCTCTGCATCATATGCGGTATCACCGCGCGATAAACGAGGAACATGCCCCGCAGGTTGGTGTTCATCACCTCGTCCCATTGGTCGATCGTGGTGGCCCAAACGGGGGTGTCATAGGTGATGACGCCGGCGTTGTTACCAGCGCGTCAATCTGTCCCCAAGTCCGAATGACCTGCCTCGCCACCCGACCCGCATCGTCGGACCGGGTCACGTCGAGCGCGAAGGCCTCCGCCGCTCCTCCACTCGCCCGTATCTCATCGACCACCTGGGTCAGCAGGTGCGTGTTGCGTCCGGTCACGATGGTACGCGCGCCCTCACCGGCAAAGGCCAGGGCAATGGCTCGGCCGATGCCCCGTCCGGCGCCGGTAATCAACGCCACTTTACCTGTGAGCAACATCCGTTGTTTCTTACCCGCCCTGGTATGCTCGTCCGATAGAGGCTCGCGACCCGCCGAATTCGCATCGCCGAAGAGAACCGCCTTCGGAGCTAAATTCGCAGGTCTAATCGAGGTGTCAGCAGGCGGTCGGGCACCTGGGTCTCGCGCATGAACCTGACCAGGAACTGATGCATTTCCCGCGCAATGTCCCCGTGGGTTCCTATCACGTTCTGGAGCTGGCGCGGATCGGAGGTCAGATGGTAGAGCTCCGAGACACCCTCCTGGGGGCTGTAGAGTAGGCTCCACTCTCCGGAGGTGACGGTGGTGACGGGATAATCCGAGAGGGGACGGAGCAGGTTGTCCACGGAATGGACCGGATCACCCGGGTTCGCGAAGGGAATGCTGCTGATCACGTACTCCCTCCCCGAAATCGAACCGTCCCTCATCCCGGGCGCGAGAGACCTGCCTTGGACGAAATCGGGGATGTCCATCTCCATGAGGTCTAGCACGGTCGGCATGACATCTATCGCGGAGCTCAGGCCCTGGTACACTCCCACGGGCAGTCCGGGCACGCGGATCAAAAGCGGGATGTGGATGAGCTCCTCGAAAAGGGGAGAATGGGCCCAGGTCGATCCCGGCTCTCCGTATGGCCGGAGGGTCCCGTCCGGGAACTTGCCAGAGTTCATCTTGCCAAAAAGGCCGCCGTGCTCCCCAAAGTAAAAGCCGTGATCCGTGGTGAAAATCACCGCAGTCCGGTCGGTCAGGCCCATGTTCTCGACCGACTTCAACAGGAATCCCAGCCACGTGTCGACCATGGTGATCTCGCCGCAATACGTGGCATGACCCTTCCGCAACGTGTCCTCCTCGTATCCGGGCACATCGTGCCAATTTCCGTACAACGGAAGCACCAACTCGCCGTTGTATTCGGGCCGGTAGAGTTCCGTGTAATAGGAAGGCGCGTCCCAGGGTTCGTGGGGATCCCAGGTGTCAACGTAGAGAAAAAAGTCCTCCTTGTAGTGTTGCTCCAACCACCGCATGGCCGTCATGAAGGTGCGCGGGGCGTTGTGGTCCGATTCGTACCGCCATGCTGCCCGGACGTCCTGGGATTCGTGATGATAGCCGGGCTGCGGGATCATAGACCACAGGGTATCCTGCCCTCGGTTCATGAAGAAGGACTGAAACCCCCGGTCGTAGTTCATCCCATCCCTCAAATAGTAGGGGGTGTCCACCGATGCCGCCGTATGAAAGCCGCGGCCAGCCAGCAGATCCGCCAGAGTGGTCACTTCCGCCGGTAGAGGCTCCCACCCCATGAATGACATCGTCCAGCGGCCCGTTTGATGGTCCGCCCTGGTGGGCATGGTGGGAAATCCGGCCGAGTAGTGCTGTTCGAACCGGATCGATCTGGCCGCCAGCGTATCGAGGGAGGGCGTTCGAATGGTCGGATTGCCGTAAGCGCCGATGTGATCCCTGCGGAAGGTGTCCGCAACAATCCAGATGACGTTCATCGTGTACACTCCTTTGGTTCATTGGCGATATACATTCCACGAATTGCCGTATCTACCGTTTTGCAAAGCCTGTAGGCCGCCAATGTTACGACAACATGCTCAGCTTGCGCACTGCCTCAAATCAAATGTTACCGAAAAAGCGGGTGGCGTACCGGCCCTTCCTCGACTATTCGCTGAACAACGTCGGCGACCCTTTTCGCAACAGCGACTACTGGTCCAAGCGTTTGCCGTGGACGACCGCGAAAAAGACGCAGCCGCCATCAGGGGCGCCACCATCCTCTGAAGCTGGCCGGAGAGCCGATTTCTCGGAGCGTGTTGTCTGTCGCAATCAGGCTGGTGCTGGAAATGTCCGAATGGGGCACTTCACGTAGCCCGCGTTTCACGACGTTGATGTAACGACCCTTGTGCGAACCGAACGAGTATCGATAGGGCTCGTTCTCACCGTGGATATGCCCAAGCTGTTCGCCGGTCAAAATGCCATTGAAATCGGTGGTCAGCCTTGGCATCCAGGGCGACCACTTTCTGTAGTCGAAGCTGCCTGCTGATAGACGCCGCCCTGCAGCGGATTTTGCCGGCTTTATCTATGCCGTAAGGCAAACTTGACGGCTGACGTCAAGCGTCTCTACACTGGCCTCGCAATGATCCAAAGCTATCGGGAGCGACGGACTGAGGCATTCGCGGCCGGAGACTATCTTCCAGCGCTTCAGAGCATTGAGCAGCAAGCGGCGCGCCGCCTTTCGATTCTAAACGCGGCCAGATCTTTGGATACGATGAGGACCCTGCGCGGCAACCGGCTGGAAACATTGAGGGGAGATCGGCCCGGGCACTACTCCATGACGATCAATCGTCAATGGCGCATTTGTTTCAGTTGGCCTGAGGGTCAGGCGGGGCCATCCGACGTCGAGATTGTGAACTATCACTGAGAGGGAGCTGGCGACCATGTTGAGACGGGCCGTACATCCAGGGGAAATCCTGAAAGATGAGCTGGAGGTGAGGGGTGTGTCGCCGGCGAGTTTTGCCAGGCAGATCGACGTGCCGCCCAATCGGATCAGCCAGATTATGGCCGGGAAGCGTGCGGTTACCGGCGACAGCGCCCTGAGGTTCGGCCACTGGTTTAGCACGGACCCCCAGTTCTGGCTGAATCTGCAGGCTCAGCACCACCTGGCGGTCGCCGACCAGTTGGTGGGGGAGAAGGTGCGTGTGCTGCCCACCGCGGCCGTCGGCGAATAGCATGGTGTCCGGCGCCAGGATGCTCGGACATGACCCGGGTGCAACGCAGGATTTAGCACTGGTTGGCAGCAACCCCAAGTGCTAATATTTCGGTAACATTCTTCAATGAGGCAACACGCCGGCAGGACTTATCGTCGTTCATCATTATGTCCGTACTCCCACCAGCCCATCTCATCGGTGTGGACTGCTGGGCTGCCTCGGACCTGTTCCAGTATGTCCGCGCCACCCGTTGGGCCGCCAGCCGCCTTCTGTGTGGCCTCCACGATGGCCCCTAAGCTCAGGCTCAGCCCATGCACGGTACCAGGCCACCGGATGGTGCGGAAGGGCAGTCTGGTCTCCTCCCGCAGGGCCACAAACAGGCTGATGACGTTTATCGCCAGGGGCTGTCGTCCCATCACCACGCCGTCCCAGTTGCGCCTTGGGAATACAGCAGCGTCGGCAGCGGGGACAGGTGTGGGCCATGTAAACGTGCTCGGTTACCTGAGCCGGAGCCTGAGGCAGGTCGATCAACTCCCGAGTGCGCTGGGCCCAACCCCCAAACAACTGGGTCCCGCAGTCGGGACAGTTCTCCAGAGCGTGCTACACTCGGTGGGTGGGCGTCATGCGCGCTCGGGCAAAGCCGTGGCGGCGAGGCTTGCGTGGACCTTTGGACTGGGCTGGCTTCCCGTCGCCTTTGGGTTTCAGACCCGGCATCCGGCGGGAGCCTGTGGGTTTGGCTTGCCCTTCCAACTGGGCAATCCGTTTCTCCAACCGTTCAATGACCGCCTGCTGCCGGACGATGATGCCAATGAGAACATACCGGCGACTGTCCGAAGATCAATTTCGGTATCCATCCCAGTTATATGACAAAACCAACCCTCGCAGCGCCAGCCACCCGCAAACCAGGCTCGGCCAATTCGCCTCACCAACTCGGAACAGTTACGATATCTGTGACTACATTTTACTTGACTTGAGAACATTGTAAGATTGACCGTCGAACGCTAAAACCACCACATTTTCGCTCGTTTTGCTTGATTACTACTGGGTAAGCTGGAGGTTGTGTCATGAATTCGGCAGAGAGTGGTTTACATCGGCTTTTCAAAGCACAAGCGGCCAACACGCCGGACGACCCGGCAATCGTCTTTCGGGGCGAGCGGACATCCTACGCTCAGTTGGACCAGGCTACCGATGCGTTGGGTGCCTATCTTCTGGATCGCGGTGTCTCAACGGATGACCCGGTGGGCATTTTCATGGAGACCTGCCCGGAGTACATCGTCGCCAGCATTGGCACTTTGAAGGCGGGGGCCGCCTTCATGCCCATGGCCCTGGACTCGCCCGAACCTCAGCTCCGAGCCATTTTGTCAGAAGCGCAGCCTAAGGTGGTGATCACCCAGGCGCGGTACCTGTCCCGGTTGAAGCAGCTCACCGGAACGCATGTATTGCCTATTGACAGCGGTCAGTCCTGGAGGGACTGCTATGCCGCAACCTCTGGGGTAGAAGTTGCAAGCGACGACCCGGCCTTTCTGCCCTACACCTCCGGCACAACCGGGGACCCGAAGGGGGTGATGCAGACCAGCGGCTCAGTCATTTCGTCCTACTTCGCCAGGTACAAGTTCAGTTCTTATGCCGTCGGGGACCGGGTCGCCTGCAACATCTTCTTCCCGTGGGAGTTCCTCCGGCCGCTGCTCAAAGGAGGAACGGTGTACGTGATTCCCGATGACATCGTATTCCTTCCCAGGGCCCTCACCCAGTTTATAGCGGAACACCAGATTTCGGAGGTCCTGTTCACTCCGTCCCTGCTGCAGGGGATCCTGAACTCAGCAGACCCTGAGCTCTTGCGCGACCGGCTGTCGTCGCTGAGAGTGGTATGGCTGAACGGGGAGGTGGTGCCAACCAGCCTGTTGAAGCTGGCGTTGGACCTCTTCCCCATTTCTGCCCGTGTTTTCAATACCTACAGCATCAGTGAGACTCACGACACCTGCACCATTGAATTGACGAATTTGAGCACGGAAGGCATGGACGCCTGCCCAGTGGGCCTACCGATGGACGGCGTGACTGTCCGCGTACTCCCGGAAGGACTGCCCCCCCTGGCTCCAAGCGGGGTCGGCGAGTTGTACATCGGCGGGCGCGGGCTTGCCCGGGGCTATCTGAAGAGGCCCGACCTGGACGCAGAGAAGTTCGTCACTCTGGATGGTGAGAGGTACTACGCGACCGGCGACCTGGCCGAGGTGGATGCGCGGGGGATGACAACAATCGTTGGGCGAACCGATTCGATGGTCAAGATCAGGGGTTACAGCGTTTACCTGGGCGCCATCGAGGAAGCTTTGCGGAAGCACTGTGGCGTGGCCGATGCAGCTGTGTTGGCTGAAACGCAAGATGAAACCAACAAGCGGTTGGTGGCCTACGTGGTACGGGGCCCGCAGGCGACATGGAAGGCGGACACCGCGAGCAGAACCAGCAGAGACCTGCGTACTGTGTTGGAGCGGTATTTGCCTCCCTACATGGTGCCCAGCCATTTCGTAGAGATGGAAGCGCTCCCGTTGAACCAGCAGACGGGAAAACTGGATCGCAAGGCCTTGCCCGCGCTACGCGAAGGGGGGGCTGGCACCAAGAAGCCGGCGCAGATACCGAAGCATGCCACCGCAACAGAACGACGCACAGCCTTGCGGGAAGTATGGAGCGAAGCCCTGGATGTTGACAGCCAGTCCCTGCAGGACGACTGGAACTTCTTTGACCTTGGCGGTAATTCGCTGACTGGCCTGGCCCTTACGCTGAGCATCGAAGAGACGTTTGAGATTGAACTCAGCGGTACTGAGGTCTACGAATACCCGACCATCAGTGAGCTGGCAGCATACTTGGAACATAGAGGGCCGAATATGGAATCTAACATTTCGCTCGCCGAAGACTCAATACTGGCGCCGGACGTCGCGCCGAAAGGCGGCGCTCGGGTTGGCCGATTGGGCGAAGCGTCGTCGGTGCTGATCACCGGGGCAACCGGCTTCCTGGGGGCCTTTCTGCTTGATGAACTGCTGCGCGCCACGGGCCGGGACACTCGTTTTTACTGCTTGGTCAGGGGACGAAATACCGAACCGAGGACGTCCGCCAACCGAATACTGGAGACCCAGAGGTTTTACGGGCTGGCTGGCCAGTCCATGCAACACAGGATCGTCTCTGTCCATGGGGACCTTACCCAGCCCCGGATGGGATTGGATGATGAGGAGTATCAGCGACTCTCGGACGAGATAGACCTGATATTTCATTGCGCCGCCTCCGTCAATTACGCCTATCCCTATGCCGCAGCGAAGCTCCACACGGTGGGCGGGACGTTGGAGGTGCTGAAGTTCGCCTGCAACTCTACAACAAAGCCAATCCAGTACATTTCATCCAACGGCGTTTTTCCCGGAGGAGACGACACTCCCTACCTGGAAAACAGTCAGATTGACGACTTCGTCGACAGGATGGAGGGAGGCTACAACCAAGCCAAATGGGTTGCGGAACGGCTGGTGTGGTCGGCGGTTTCCCGGGGACTGCCGGTGTGCGTTTTCCGTCCGGGCAACATAGGCCACCACAGCGGAACCGGCACGGTCAATCCGAATGACTTCCTTTCACTGATCATCAAGGCCTGCGCGCGACTCGGTTGCACTCCCATGGTGCCGGACTGGTTCTTCGAGATGACCCCCGTGGACTTTTTGGCGACCGCCATCACGAGGATTTCAGACGATCCGGCGCATCTGGGCAAGGTTTACAACGTGGTCCAACAGGACCCGGTCCCCGCCGACCAGGTCTTCGCTTACATGGAGCGCCACGGATACGCAACCGAACGTGTCCCATTGGGGGAGTGGAAATCACGGCTGGCAGCAATGGCCGAGCGCGGGGAAGACATGGAGATGAGAGTCCTGGTTCACTCTCTGGACTCAGTCGAATCGTACCTGTCTGATACCAGCTCTTACGACATCAGCCGGTTCGCGGAGGCGATTGCCGGATTTGGACTTACAATGCCGCCAGTTGATGTGGCCTACGTAACCAAGTTTCTGAGGACGTGACCATCGCACGGGGTCGCTGGGAAGGACAGCCTGGCCGCAAGATCCCTACCTACGTGGTCTGGGGACTGCAATCATGCATGGGATCGGAACCGGCTAGACAGAGTATTGTCCACCACCAAAGCGGCCGCTTCCCCCAACGGCATCCGCCGCCGGCGAACTCGGCCGATAACGGGACTACCCAGTTGGAAGGGGAGTATCGAGCCGTCGTGGCCAGCGGCGGAGTCTCGTCTGTCCCTGTTGCCTCACCAGCAAATGTTACCGAAACTCTAGCACTTGGCTCCAGGTCCCACGAGTGCCAGTTCCGGCAGTCCAGTGCGTGCCGTTGCAGCATCGCTGGTCGAAGCGTAAACGAGTGCTTTGGCCATGACCCCTGTCGTTGTCCAGCGATTCCGCCAGTTTAAATGGAAAGCGATTTTGACAGTCCGAGTGTCCGGCGGTCAGTTTGGATAGACGTGCAGTGCCCTGATTGTGAGGCCGATTGGTGGGTTGAGTGAGGGCACGGGCGTACTCGCGTACGGTGTTGCGAGAGATGCCCAGCTGGCGTGCGATCTCGCGCAGGGGAAGGCCCTGCATCCTGGCGTGTCGCACCGCCTTCGACAGTGCCAGCTGGCGAGGCGTGAGTTCCCGGCAGGCTGGGAGTCGCGGTTCGCTATCGTCGCTGACGACGTGGGTATCATGGATGCTGAACAATAAGGTGGACATTTACCCTGACCTTCGACACTGTTAGGGGACTGGAAACTGGGCCGAAAGCCTGACTTGGGAAGTTGGTTTGTGCCGCGGCTGGGGAAGCCAGGGCGGGACTCAATGCAAAGCCGGTGCGGGTCGGATTGGATTGCAGGGCTAAAGTTTCGGGGACCTTTCTTGGTGAGGCGACAGGGAGGGTACAATGCAGCCACCATCTCGTTGCCAAGGAGTGTCCGATGGTCAGAGTATCGGCGCCGCCCAAACCGCAGACGTCCGGGTCAGGGAGGCCACCCCTCCGGCGCGGTCCGACGTCCGGCCAGGGTAACACCGGGGAGCCGGCGACCGTGGGTGTGACGGCGGCGGAGTAACACCGTTCATCTCTCGACGCGAGAGCCGGTCCCGGGACGGGCCGTGTCGTGTGGGTGAGGACCGTTTGAGGAATATGCCTAACGGGAGACGCCGTTCACCATGGACGGGCTCTGGAGTTGCCGGATGATCGTACTGCATGGGGGTCTGAACGACGGATGTATTCTACTGTGGGCGGAGCGATCTGAAGGCGAAGCGCGTCCCGAGGGGAACGGCCATCAGGAGGCCAATCAGCATCCCTGCTGCGCCGGTCCGGGCGAGTTGACCGACCTTCTGGCTGGCGCCGTGCCCGAGTTCAGGGCGGAATCGGGCGAGGCTGTTTCCGTCACCGCGTGGCTGCCCAGCCGGGGCGGCCGGCCGATCCCGTCCAGCACGCTGTTGGCGGACCCGTCCAAGTCCCGGGCCAAACCCAGGCTGGCTCCCTGGACGATAGCGGCTAACCGGCTGTCCCCGGCCGATGCCATCCCGATACTGCGGGCCTGCGATGGCCGTGGGGCGCTGACCGCCGGCGTGATCATTGGAGCTGACCTTGCCTACTGGGGCCGGGCGCTGCGCTTTGCGGCGGGATTGGTGGCCCGCCAGCAGTACCTGCCGGGGGTGGGGCAGGACCTGGCGACGCCCCGGGCCACCTGGATACCCCTGTTTGTGGGAGCCGACGCCGAGCGACTGGCGCGGTTGAGCCGTCGCATGCCGGCGTCGGCCCGTGCGCTGTCGGAACCCGACGCCACCGAGCCTCCCGACCTGCCGGCGGAGGCGATGCTCAGGACCTTCGTGGCGGCGGTCGCGGACCACCTGGTCAGACACGGGACCGCAGCTCCGGAGACAACTCCATCTCGAAGCCGCCCCAAGGTGCCGGCCTTTGACAGCGTACACGACGCCTGGCTGCACGGTCTGTCATCGGCCGACGGGGTGATCGGCGGCGCTCCGGAACAACTCCGGCGGCTGCGGACACAGGTAATGGAATGGCAGCGGCCCATCGCGCTGACGGCTGGCGCGCCGTTTCGGCTCTGCTTCCGGCTCGAGGAACCGCCGGAGCCGGAGGACGGTGAGCGCGAAACCGCGGCAGCAACGGACGACGGGTGGTACCTGCGCTACCTGCTGCAGTCCCACGAAGACCGCAGCCTGCTGCTGCCGGCTGGCGAGGTCTGGAAAACCGGGGGCCAGCGGGCACACGACCTGGAACGGGAGGGTTTTAACCCGCGGGAGTTTCTGCTGGCGTGCCTGGGGCGGGCGGGCAGCATCTGCGGCGGCGTGGCCGATAGCCTGCACCGGAAGGAGCCGGCGGGACAGGAGCTGGACGCCGCCGCGGCGTACCGGTTCCTGACGCGGGAATCCGTCGCCCTGGAAGAGGCTGGCTACGGCATCATGCTGCCCGCGTGGTGGACCCGCCGGGGAACCAAGGTCAGGCCCGCCCTGCGGGCCAGTGTGAAAACACCCCGTATGCAGGGTGGCGGCGGCGTATCGTTGGGGACCATGCTGGACCTGAACCTGGAGGTGGCGCTAGGGGACCAGGTCATCACGGCCCGGGAGCTGGAGGCGCTGGCCCAGCTGAAAGCGCCGCTGGTGCGGCTGCGGGGCCAGTGGGTGGAACTCAACGCCGGCGAGATCCGGGCGGCGGTGGATTTCTGGAACCGGAAGGGTGAGAGCTCGCTCGGCGACGTGATCCGGCTGGCGGTGGGCGCCGACGAGACGCCGGGCGGTTTCGAGCTGGAAGGTGTGGCGGCCAGCGGGTGGGTGGAGGAGTTGCTGGAGCAGCTCACGGGACGGGCCGAGTTCCAGGAACTGGAAGCTCCGGATGGGTTCTGCGGAACGCTGCGTCCTTACCAGATGCGGGGTTATTCCTGGCTGGCGTTCCTGCGGCGCTGGGGGTTGGGGGCGTGTCTGGCCGACGACATGGGCCTGGGCAAGACCGTCCAGACCCTGGCCGCCGTGCAACAGGACCGCCGGGAGGGGGCAAAGGGCCGGCGCTGCTGGTCTGCCCGACCTCGGTGCTCAACAACTGGCGCAAGGAAGCTGACCGGTTCACGCCCGAGCTGCCGCTGCTGGTGCATCACGGCGCCGGCCGCAAGCGGGGCGCCGAATTCGTCGAGGCGGCCAGCCAGCAGGCCATTGTCGTTGCCAGCTACGGGGTGCTGGCCCGGGACGTGCAGTTCATGTCCGAGGTGCCGTGGCGGGGGGTGGTGCTGGACGAGGCCCAGAACATCAAGAACCCGGCCACGCGGCAGGCGAGAGCCGCCCGGTCGCTGGAAGCCGACTACCGGGTGGCGCTGACCGGCACGCCGGTGGAGAACCACGTGGGCGACCTGTGGTCGGTGATGGAGTTCCTGAACCCGGGCCTGCTGGGCACCGAGGGCGAATTCAGGCGCAACTACTTTGTGCCCATCCAGGCGGAGCGGGACGCGGCGGCGGCCCAGCGCCTGCAGCGGGCCACGGGTCCCTTCATCCTGCGGCGGCTGAAAACCGACCGGTGCATCATCGACGACCTGCCGGAGAAGATGGAGAGCAGAGAATTCTGCCCCCTGACCCGGGAACAGGCCACCCTGTACGAAGCCGTGCTGCGGGAAGCCGAGCAGTCACTGGAGGAGGCCGAGGGCATCCGGCGACAGGGAGCGATCCTGGAAACGCTGACCAAGCTGAAGCAGGTGTGCAACCATCCCCGCCAACTGCTGGGTGACAACTCCGCCATCGCCGGCCGTTCGGGGAAGCTGGCCCGGCTGGAGGAAATGCTGGAGGAGGTCATCGCCGTGGGAGACCGCGCCCTGGTGTTCAGCCAGTTTGCGGAGATGGGCGCCATCCTGCAGCGGCACGTCCAGGACACCTTCGGCAGGGAGGCGCTGTTCCTCCACGGCGGGGTGTCGCGGCGCCAGCGGGACCAAATGGTGGAGCGGTTCCAGGACGCCGGCAACGGCCCCTCGGTGTTCATCCTGTCGCTCAGGGCGGGTGGCACGGGCCTGAACCTGACGGCGGCCAACCACGTGTTTCACTACGACCGCTGGTGGAACCCCGCCGTGGAGAACCAGGCCACGGACCGGGCCTTCCGCATCGGCCAGACCAGCAACGTTCAGGTGCACAAGTTCATGTGCGCCGGCACCCTGGAGGAGCGCATCGATCTGATGATCGAGGCCAAGCAGGCCACGGCCGAGCGGGTGGTCGGCGCTGGCGAGGGCTGGCTGACGCGGCTGTCCAATGAGGAGCTGCGGGAGGTACTGACCCTGGACCGGGAAGTCGTCGCCGCATGAGACCGGTCAACCGGAACGCCAGCACCCAAACGATATGATACGGGACTGAACGCCATGGTCTATCACGATTTCGAGTACACCCGCCCCCGGGAAGCCAGGGGCGGGATTCGAGCGCAATCCAGGCGGGGGGACTTCGGCGCCAACTGGTGGTCCAGGCGCTGGATCCAGGCGCTGGAGAAAGTCAGCCTGGGGTCCAGGCTGGCCCGGGGCCGATCCTACGCCCGTCGGGGCCAGGTGCTGTCCATCGACGTGGGGCCGGGCGCGGTGTCCGCCAGCGTGCAGGGTTCCCGGAAGCGGCCATACCGGGTGAGCATCGAGGTCGCCACCCTGCAGGGTCCCGATTGGGAAAAGCTGCGAGCGGTCCTGGCCGAGCGGCCCGCATTCGCCGCCAGCCTGCTGGCCGGACGCGTGCCGGAGAACATCGAGGACGCGTTCGCCAACGCCGGACTGTCCCTGTTTCCGTCGCGGCACGGCGATCTGGAGACCGACTGCTCGTGCCCCGACTTCTCCAACCCGTGCAAGCACATCGCCGCCGTGTATCTGCTGTTGGGCGAGGAATTCGACCGCGATCCGTTCCTCATCTTCAGGATGCGGGGCATCGAACGCGACGACCTGCTGGGATCGGACCTGCGGATGTCCGCCGCGGCCAGCGCCTGGACGGACCCGCCGCTGGCGCCGGAACCGCTGCCGGTCACCCCTGACGAATTCTGGGGACGGGAAGCGGATTGGAACGATTACGACGACCTCATCGGGCCGGCCCGCGTGCCCGAGGAATCGGCCGCGCTGCCCAGGCAGCTGGGGCAGTTCCCATTCTGGCAGGGCACGGAAGAATTCATGCCCACCATGGAAGCCATCTACACCCGAGCCTCGCAGGCCGGTCTGGACTATACCTCGGCGGGGATTGAGCGGCCAAGCCGACGTCGGAAGGCGCAAGCGCTGCGGAGCAAGGCGACGGTTGCATTCGCAACCGGGTTTTCGGTGGAGCGGAGCGGCCGGCGGCAACAGGCGCAGGGAGAAAAATACGGGAACGCGTGAAACGCGGGCTAACAGCGCCATTCGACCGTGACGCGAACCGTATTGGAGGAGACAGCGTGTACGATAACCAGGCTGACTGCGGCTGCGAACGATGCGCCATCGCCCGTGAACAGGCGGATTTTCAGAGGTTGCTGCTGGCCGCGCGCCACGAAGCGATCACGGCGCGGTTGGCAGCAGTGCTGACGGAGCTGGAAAGCGGCGGTTACGGCGGCGCGCCGGAAGCGGACCTGGGCCTGATGGCGCTCACCGGCCTGATGCTGGAGAAGCTGAACGAGTTTGAGGCGATCATGGCCGAAACATCCGGATCGCAGGACGACCCGGTGGGCGAGGCGGCAGCCGCGCGGCACACCGCGTTGATGGACCGGGTGCGCGACGCTGCGGAGCGGGTGCGACGGCAACGGGAACCGGCCAGTGAAAACGGAGACGCCAGCCTCTGGTATGCCGCCTGTTTTGACTGCACCACCGTCCTCGAGGCGGTGAGACGATTCCATCAGCTGCGGGCGGAGCTACCTCAGGGGGACCCCATGCGGGACCCCTGGCTGACCATCATGCTTGATCTGGCGCAGGAGGCGTCCGGCAATCGAGCCCGTCTGCAGGACACCGCCATTCCCGACCTCGATGACGGTCTGGCCGTTGCCAGGGCGGCGCTGCTGGCGGAAGCGCACGCCGCCCTTGATGAGCTGGAGGAGACCGTGGCGACGAACCGGCGCGAGTTCAACCAGGGGCTTCCGATGGTGATCCGGCCAGCGCTGGCGGCGCTGCCGGCGGTGGCCGAACGCGCCGCCGCGGCGGAAATCGGTCCTGCTGATGTCCATATTGCACGTTTCGATGAACCCGATCCCACTTCGCCGCACGCCCGGGGCGGGCTGGCCGTGGTGTACTACTACCGGGGCGCCAAAGTGGTGCAGTCGATGCTGGAAACCTATCCGACGGGGTTCCCCGCCGGCTCGGCCCGGCGGCACGTCGAACGCCTGATTGACCAACTGCTGGCCCTGGGACCGGACGATGAGGAATTGTCGGATATCCTGCTGCCTCACGCCGCCGCCCTGTTGGATCTCGTCAACGCGGGCCTCCACGACGTGTCCAGAGCCGGCTTCGACACCTTCATCGCCAGGTTGCAGGAGCAGGATCTCCGCCACGGCGCGATGCTGGACGTCGTGACGGCGGTGGCCGGAACGGACCGTGACGTCTGGGAATACCTGTTGGACGACTCGGACTTCGACACCGAGTTTGCCAATCGCCGGCAGGCACGGGCCATTATCACTGCTGCACGCCGGCAAGGACTGGACTCGGTGAAGCTGGCGAAACTGGCCATGACCATGGGACACGATGCGGAGGATCTGGGCGTCACGCTGCCGGCCATCAACCGCGAGGCTCTGCAGACCTTGTTGCGGGTCGCTCTGGAGGCTGGCTTCCGTCACGACGCCATCGACCGCATTCACCAATTCATGGATCCGCATGGTTACGAGGACGCGCTGTACGCGAGGGTGAGGGCGGGTAAGGGCGTTGACGATGATTGGGACGAGGACCTTTGATGGTAACGGCGTTGAGCGCGAGGAAGTGCGGTATTGCCAGAGCCCCGGGAGCAGGATGCCGCTGAACCCGGTGGACGCTGATTAACGACAATCAGTCCTGCCGGCGTGTCCCGACTGAGGGTAGGCATCTATCAGGGACCGCATTACTGTCTATCGCCAAGGACATTGCGCCACCTTGGGCGCGTGACGATTTTGACTAATGTGAGGTTGCAGTTGGTCGGTCAATCGCCCGCTTTGACCCTCCAGCAGGGCGCCGTGCGTCGACAGCCGTTCCCTGCAGCCGCTTCCTTCGATGGACGATCTGGTAGCCGGCGTTGGCCAGCCGGTCCAGAGCGCCGCCGCCAGGATAGTGTCGGCGAAAAGGCTCAGCCACTCGTCCACGGTCCAGTTGCCGCTGATGACAGACCTGGGATCTTCGCACGAACGAGTGCAAGTAATGACCGTTGCGCGAACCAACGCGGACGTCAATCGGGTTTGCCTTTGCGGTAGCTCGCATATGTTGCTTGACGTGTGACGTCAGGCGTACTTACACTGGCTTCAGCATGATTGAGGGCTACCGGGACTGGCGGACCGAAGCGTTTCGCTGCTGGTGAGTATGTTCCAGCGTTTCCAGAGCTTTGAACAACAAGCCGCGCGTCGCCTTTCGATACTCACGCCGCCCGATCTTTGGACACGCTCAGAGCGTTGCGTGGCAATCGGCTGGAGACGCTGAGAGGAGACCGTGCAGGGGCAGTACTCCATAAGGATCAATCGCCAATGGCGCATCTGCTTCAGTTGGTTCGAGGGTCAGGCGGGACCGTCTGATGTCGAAATTGTGGACTATCACTGAGGGGGTAAATGATGACCATGTTGAAGCGGGTCGTACATCCGGGTGACATTCTGAAAGATGAACTGGAGGAGAGAGGCGTATTGCCAGCGAGTTTCGCGAGACAGATTGACGTTCCGCCCAATCGCATCAGCCAGATTCTGTCCGGCAAGCGTGCGGTGACTGGTGACAGCGCCTTGAGGTTCGGCCATTGGTTCGGCATGGATCCCCAGTTTTGGCTGAACCTTCAAGCGCAGTATGACCTGGCGATCGCGGAGCAACTGGTGGGCGCTGAGATACGTGCCCTCCCCACCTCAGTTGGCGACCGGTAGGGTGAGATCTGGCGCCTTGGTATGAAGATGTCTGAACCGTTGAAAAGTTACACGCACCGTTTCTGGGGCAAGTCGGACCGCAATGCACCGGACCGCATCCACCTGTTGGAGCACCACCTGGCGGATGTTGGCGCATGCTTCGAGGCGCTTATGAAGCAGCCGCTGATCCGCCGCCGGCTAGCACATACGGCCGGCTGGGCCGATATCGACGACACGATGGTAGCGCGGCTGTGCGTTTTTGCCGCGCTGCACGACATCGGCAAGGTCAACATCGGTTTCCAGACGCAAATCTGGAGACCGGATGATTATTCTGCAGGCCAGCGGCGGCCCGGGTGGGCCGGGCATACGGTGGACCTGATGCCGGTGCTCAACGGCTCTGACCGTGCGACATCCGAGTGGTTCTGCGACTCTCTGGGCTGGTGGTGGGATGCCACCGAAACTTGGGACGACCGAGATGGCGAAACCGTCTGCGGCCTGCTGGTGGCCACGCTGTCGCATCACGGGCGGCCACTGCAACTGGACGACGGGCGCTCCGAGTTTCCACAGTTGTGGCGACGCTTTGGCGCACTGGACCCGCAGGATCAGGTGGCCCGCATTGGCCAACTGGTGCGGGAGTGGTTCCCGGCAGCATTTGATGCCGATGGACGGCGATTGCCATCGACGCCGGCGTTCCAGCATCATTTCCTGGGACTGTGCAACTTGGCCGACTGGATCGGCTCCAATGAGTTGTGGTTCAGGTATGTCGATGAACCCAGGGACGACTACATGGACGTAGCTCGGGAATGCGCTGGCATGGCCATCGCCAGCATCGGCCTGGACCTGGCCAGCCAGCGGCAGAGCGTGGCCCGCGCCGGTGTGCCCGGCCTCGCGGGTTTGTTCCCGCACATCGCCGAGGCGAACGCCATCCAGAAAGCGGCATACCAAGCGCCGTTGGACGAGCGGTTGATTATCATCGAATCGGAGACCGGGTCAGGGAAGACTGAGGCGGCATTGTGGAGGTTCGCCCGGATGTACGAGGCCGGCCTGGTGGACGGTCTGTACTTTGCGCTGCCCACGCGGTCAGCAGCCAAGCAAATCTTCGACCGGGTGAAACGTTTTATCGCCAACATGTTCCCGGACGGCGCGCGACCGGAACCCGTACTGGCGGTGCCCGGCTATCTGCGGGCCGGCGAGGCGACCGGACAAAGGCTCCACGATTACGAAGTTTGGTGGGACGGTCAAGCCTCCGACGGTCGGCGCTGGGCTGCGGAAAGCCCCAAGCGGTTCCTGACCGCGCAGGTCGCCGTGGGGACGGTGGATCAGGTCATGCTCGGGTCATTGAAGGTGAAGAACGCCCACATGAGGTCCGCCAGCCTGGCGCACAACCTGCTGGTGGTTGACGAGGTCCACGCCTCTGACGCCTACATGAGTGAGATCCTGGCCGCCGTGCTCGATGCCCACCTGGGCGCCGGGGGCTATGCGCTGTTGATGTCGGCGACGCTGGGCGCGACGGCCAGGCATCGCTGGTTGGGGGGCGATGGCAACGACGCTCCGACGCTGGCGGAGGCGATTGACGCGCCGTATCCGGCGGTGAGCGCGTCTCTGGGGATGGCCGACGCCGGTGAAAATGACCGGCGCAAGGACGTGGGCATCCGCGCCGAACCGGAGATGCGCGACTTCGGCGCGGTGGCAGCGCGGGCGTTGACAGCGGCGCGGGCCGGCGCAAAGGCGCTGGTGGTTCGCAATACGGTGAACTATGCCATCCGAACTCAGGAGGCGCTGCTGGAGGCGGCTGGGCCGGACGATGCGGGGCTGCTTTTCTCCGTCAACGGAGTTCCCGCGCTGCATCACGGGAGATATGCCGCCGGCGACCGGGAACTGCTGGACGATGGGATTGAGCGGCGGTTGGGCAAGGACGACCGATCCGACGGCGGCCTGGTAGTCATCGGCACGCAGACTCTGGAGCAGTCGTTGGACATCGACGCCGATCTGCTGATAACCGACCTGTGCCCGGCGGACGTGCTGCTGCAGCGCATCGGGCGGCTGCATCGCCATCGGCAGAACGACGCCGGCCGGCCCGACGGCTACGGCCGGCCTCGTTGCGTCGTGCTGACGCCCGGTGATGACCTGTCGCCGCTGCTTTCCACCGGTCAGAACGCCAACGGCCTGGGTCCTTACGGCGGGGTGTACCGCAACCTGCACATCCTGGAAGCAACCCGGCGGCTGATCGACAAACATCCGCAGTGGTGCATTCCGGAGATGAATCGCAAGCTGGTGGAGCGGGCGACGCACGGCGATGCGCTCGCCGCAATCACCGCCGAGCTGGGCGAGGCCTGGAAAGGGCACGCGATAAGTACGGCCGGCGGCCTCATCGCCGACGTGCAGACGGCGCGAGGGCACGTGATCCGGCGCGATAGATCCTTCTTCACGGACAACCAAGAGGTCTGCTTCCCCAGCGATGAAACGCACATAAGGACGCGCCTGGGTGACGACCGCGTGGAGATAGCCTTCAGCGCGGAGCCAGCCAGCCCCTTTGAAGCATCGCGCACGATTGAACGGCTAGCGATGTCAACGCGGTGGCTGACGGGAGTCGAGCGGCCGGAGGCGGTAGAACCTACAGCATCGGCCAACGGCGGCTTCGAGTTCCGCGTGGGTGAGCGGCGGTTCCGCTACGACCGGCTTGGTTTGCGGCGGGCGTGATCGGATCTCGCATCGACGGACAGAATGGATGGGATTTACAAGGCAGGGGCGGATTTTGTGTCCGCCCCTCGCGTATCCCCGCGCGTGCGGGGGAACTGATGAAGTGGCAGCTCCCATGGGGACCTACCATGGTCTATCCCCGATACTACAGGGGTGAGCGTTGACCGTCGGGGAAATCGCTGCTATGGTATCACAGAAATGTAGAGAACTGGTAGGTTCCAATGGGGGATTATAAGGGGGTTGAAAATTGAGACCAGGTAGGCTATGGTCATGAAAGTCCCATCGCCGGGGTGCAACCCGGCGATGGCGAGAAATCTCCGCCATCCAGTGAGCCACACCAAATTTGGGAGGATTCCAATGCGAATCATAGCAGTCCTTACCGTCATTGCCAACGGTTGCGACTATGGTTTCGACTGCCCGGCAACCGCCGATTGTGACTTATGCCGGAATCGGATTTGCGATTGGTGCCGGCACCCGGGGACGCCCAAGACTAAGGATAGCTGGATCTGCTATCCGCAGTGCCTTTGGAAGCATACCAACTTTTGATGCGAAAAGCCGTACGAAAGATTCTTGACAAACCACTATGCTACCCATAGCCTAAAGCGAGCGTTTGTTCCGCTCGTATGTACGTCTATTGGGAAGCGGCTGACGAGGCTAACGATATGCTCAATATTCTGACCGAGCCACTGATTCGCATTGCCACCCCTTGCGGCACGCGCCAAGCGTCCCTCCCCGAAGTGTACGCCGCGCTGATGGCGGATGGGGTGGAGGCGTTCCCCGCGCTCCGACCCCACCAGCGGCACGCCTGGCACGCTTTCCTAGTGCAGCTGGGCGCCATGACGATGCACCGCTCCGGCGTCGGCGACCCGCCGTCGGATGCGGCGGAATGGGAAGGATTGATACGGGGTCTGACAACAGATTATCCCGACGATGGGCCGTGGCATCTGGTGGTGGACGACATCACCAAACCCGCCTTCATGCAGCCGCCGGCGTCCTCGTCCGATAGGCAAAAGGACTTCAAAAGCGTGGTGGCGACACCGGACGGGCTGGATATGCTGGTGACTGCGAAAAACCACGACCTGAAGGCGACGGTGGGATTAGGAGCCGGCGTTGATGACTGGATATTCGCGCTGATTGACCTGCAAACTATGGAAGGCTTCGGAGGGGCCGGCAACTACGGCATCTCCCGAATGAACGGCGGTCTGGGTAGCCGGCCGGCCTTCTCGCTGGCTCCATTGGGCGGACCGGGTGCGCATGTGCGGCGGGACATCGTGGCTCTGCTGTCCGATTATCCGGTCGCTACTGGCAGTCGTGAGCTGCTTTGGCTGCTGCCTTGGGATGGGACAAGCGCCGAGCGGTTGCTGCCCAATGAACTTGCTCCGTTCTACATCGAGGTGTGCCGCCGTGTTCGCCTGCGCGCTGGAGAAGATGGCCGGCTGTATGCCGTCAGGACCAGTTCCAAAGCAGCACGGATTGAGAGCAAGGATTCGAAAGGACGCATGGGTGATCCGTGGACTCCGCATAACCCCGATAGGGACGGGTTACCCCTGACCCTGGCCGGCGGCGGCTTCAACTACAAGCGCGTGAAGGAATACCTGATCAACTGGCAGCCGCCCGATCTCTTGAAGCCCACACCAGCAGAACAACGCTCGGATGAAACCATGCAATTGATTGCTCGCTCCATGGTGCGGGGTCAGGGTAAAACCGAAGGCTATCACGAGCGGACCATTCCCATTCGCACCAAAACCAGGAACGCCATGCTGCGCCGCGCCGGCCCGGATAGCGCGGAAGACCTGGGTAACCTTGCCCAAAAGCGCGTCGAACGCATTGGCGCCGTCCAACGTATCCTCAGCCATGCGATCCAGGTATTCGCGGCGCGGGGCGACAGCGACAACGTCAGCCCAGAGCACCGGAGGCTGGCTGCTCCGTGGCTGAACCGACTGGACGAAATCATTGACGACCGCTTTTTTGACGATCTGCAGGATGAGTTTGAGGAGGATGACCCAGGGGAGCGCGACCGCATCCACAACGATTGGCTGAGGAATGTCGTGGTGTATAACGCCCGTCGTGTCCTGAACGCCGCCATCGATTCCTTGCCATGTCCTGCCATTCACCGGTATCGGGCGCGCGTGAGAGCCGAGGGGCTATTTGAGGGACGGATACGCGGGAACAGCGGTCTGCCGTTCCTGTTCGACGATGCGAATGAGGAGAATACGGAATGACCGAACAACGACCAGCCGACGGCGCCGGTGTCGAACACGGCAACGGTGCAGAAGCCGCGTTCCAGTAAAACGGCCAATGCGCACCTTTGCATCAGAACCGGAATTTCAAAGGGCAGTGGAGGAAGCGGCAAAAGATTGTCATTGGGATATTTTGCATATTCCTGATCGAGCCTATGACGTCGGGATCCCTCATTCAGGATTTCCCGATTTGATATTGCGATACAGGGACGAAAATGGTTGCACGATGGTCATAGCTGAGCTCAAACACGCTGAGCAACCTCGGGATGACAGGGAAAAGAAACGATGGGATCTACAGAAGCAATTCCTGCGGGATTTCGCAGGCTACGGGATACCCGTGTTCTTCTTTCGCCCCAAGCACTGGGAGTACATCGTACAGATGCTGAAAGAAGGTCCTCCGGACGCAACGGGGGACATTATAGAGCCGTCCTTGCCTATCTCACAAGGTAAGAAACTGCTAGAGCCGATCTGGGATGACAACCGCATCGTTTGCAGTTTCTTGCAGGAAGTTGCCGACTTCCATTACACCGGCAGGGGGGAGCTCGCAGAATTGAGGCGAATGAACCCGGATAAGCCCGATTCGGCTACCTTTTGGCGTCTGATGGCAAGGACCAATCGCCTAGGTTGTCCGGATACGGAGTCGAAATGGGCACTCATCTTGCATGGCATGGCACTGATGGTGCCCAACGCTGAGAGCAAAACGCCGGTAGGTAAGGCCCTGTTCGATGGTGGCGATAACCAGCGGAAGCAGGCTTTCTACAGCGACCTTCGTTTTAAGCGGCTACTGAATGCACGTGGCACGATGCTGCGATCTTTGCTTTCGGAATCGTTCCGGATGCTGAGTGCCGCCCGCCAGCCTTTTGACTGGTATGAGATGGCGACATTTATCCTGAACGACGACGAAGGGTCACAGGAATCGGCGCGTGCCCAAATGGCTCGCAACTACTATTCAACCGAGTACGAGCGGAGCAGTTAACAACAGGAGTACACCATGACTACGGCACGATTTTTGCAGATTCACACCCTGCATTCCTACTCGGCAGCGTTGCTGAACCGGGATGCTAGCGGCCTCGCCAAACGAATGGAGTTCGGCGGTGTCACGCGAACTCGGATTTCCTCACAATGCCTCAAGTGGCACTGGCGTGGCAAGACGCGGCGCACTGAAGGTGGGATGCAATACGAAGACCGGGATTTTGCGCTGCACAAGATTGATGGCGTGAAAATGGCCGACCGGACTCGCAACGCGGTTGAGAACAAGATCATACAACCCTTACGGGATACTGACGGATTCGACAAAGGCGTCGTGGATGCAATTGCGGACTCTTTTAACATCGGCGTGTACGGCGACCGAGGAACCAACCGCGACGCGCGTCAGCCGCTGTTACTAGGTTTGCCAGAGGTGGAGTTCCTCCGCGCAAAGCAGCCGCTATTTGTGCTCGATACCCAAATGACGCGAAATCCGCCAGCGATGAGGCCAAAGAGTTTTTTGACAGCAATCGTAACAATTTCCGTGTCATGCGTGAGCAGCTCAAAGTAGACTTGCCTGCGGGACAGCACGCTGGAATTGAGGGAGCACTTTTTGGCCGGATGGTCACTTCCGACACTGCATCCAACATCGATGCTGCAATCCACGTCGCCCATGCTTTCACCGTTCACGAGCAGGAAAGCGGAAACGATTACTTTACGGCAGTAGATGATTTGCAACGTAAGGGCGACGACATGGGCGCGTCTTTTATTGGGGACGCCGAGCTGACCGCGTGCCTGTTCTATGGCTACGTGGTGGTGGATCTGCCGGGCCTGGTATCCAACCTGGAGGGTTGCGACGCCGGCGACTGGGAGGACGCCGACCGCGAGCTGGCCGGCAAGGTGGTGGAGCACCTGACGCACCTGATCGCTACGGTGTCGCCTGGCGCAAAGCTGGGGTCCACCGCACCATACAGCTACGCCGACCTGATGATCGTTGAAGCGGGAAGCCGGCAGCCCCGGAGCCTGGCCAACGCATTTCGCCGTCCGGTCCGGGCGCAGGTGGAAGCCGCGACCGGAGCGCTGGCCACTTGCCTGGGACGGCTGGATGAAGCCTATGGCGGGAAGGAAGCGCGACGGGTGATGTCGGTAGAGGACTGTGATATTCCGAAGGCGGAACGGCTGTGCCTGGACGACCTCGCAACTTGGGCGGCGGACACCGTGCGCAACGGCGCGGCGGGATGACCATGCGACACCTGATAATCAATCTGGAAGCGCCGCTGATGGCCTTTGGCGGCGAGACCATCGACAACCTCGGGGTCATCCGGCCCTTTCCGGCCATGTCCATGCTGACCGGACTGTTCGCCAACGCCCTGGGCTGGCGGCGGGTGGAGCGGCAGCGGCACCAGGATTTGCAGGACCGCATCGTATTTGCGGTGCGGATTGACCGGGAGCCAGCCAGTGGGGTGCGCATGACCGACTTCCAAACGGCGCAGTTGGCCGCCAACGACCGGGGTTGGACCACCCGTGGAGCTCCGGAAGGACGGGCCGGCGGAGCGAACACGTACAACGCGCCGCATCTACGTTATCGCGACTACTACGCGGATATGCGGGTGATGGTGGCCCTGCGGCTGGAATCGTCGTCGGACGCGCCAACGCTGGATGACCTGGCGTCAGCGCTGGAAGAACCCGCGCGTCCGCTGTTCATTGGGCGCAAACCGTGTCTGCCGTCGGCGCCGCTGTTCGCCGATTTCCAGGAGGCCGACACGACGCTGGACGCTCTCCTGGAACGGCCCCTGAGCGCCGCTGATACGGGGAACAACCGCCCGGTGCGGACGCAGTGGCCGGAGCGCGAAGGGGCAGGCGGTATCGACGGCTACCGTGTTGCCATGCTCACCGACCAGCGCAACTGGGTGTCGGGCCTGCACGGCGGCGGCCGGTGGGTTTGCGAGAAAGCCATCGAACGCGAACGGTTCAGGAACACGGAAACCGATATATCATCCGAAGGGCAGGTCGAGCCATGACCAACGAAACCGAACGGCTGCAGATGATCCGCGCCGAGGTCAACGTGCGGGACTTCCAACGATGGATGGGCATTCGCCGACTGCAGGACCCCGACCACGCCATGCACTGCCTCCTGGTGGAATCCTTCGGGAGCGACCTGGCACCCAAGCCCTTTCGGATGATTGTTCCGAGGGCAGGTCCAACCGGGGTCTTGTACGGCTACGGCAACGCGTCCGCCGAAGCATTGCGGGAGGCCGCCGGAGTGTACGCTGACCCGTTGCAGCTCCGGACGCTGCAGCCGGACCGGATCGACAGCAAGCCAATGCCCACCGAATGGCAGGCAGGCAAGCGGCTGGGGTTCGAGGTGCGGGTTCGTCCCGTGGTGCGACGCACCGACAAGGCGGAGTGCCGGCCCGGCCGGGAGTGGGATGCTTTCCAACTTGAGGCGACCCAGCACCCCAAAGGGAGAGATGCCGCGTGGCCGCGAGGAGGTTTATACGGATTGGCTCGCGCGACAGTTGGAGACCCACGGCGGCGCCAGGCTGGAGTCAGCGTCATTACAATCGTTCCAACGGACGCGAGCCGTCCGCAAGCAGCACAGCCGGTACAGCGAAGGGCCCGATGCGCTGATGCGCGGCGTGCTCACTGTCACCGATGCCGTCGCTTTCGGCAAATTGCTGACTCGTGGCGTCGGCCGCCACCGGTCCTACGGGTACGGAATGCTCCTGCTGCGTCCGGCGGGACGTTCGTAGGCCATCTAACCCCAAGGGCCATCGTACCTTAACAACCGAATACCATGATTCTGGCGCACGAACCGGGCCATGGCGATTGCTGCCGTACTCTGGCGGCAACGCTCAAGGCCCGGTTCACAGGGGGTGAAATATGTTGAGAGGAAGGTTGGGACTGGAAACGGCGCGGATTCCCCATGCCGACCGCCACGGCCTGCTCTGGCTTTCGCGGGGGGGCGCTTACGGTGCGGGATGGGACACTGCGCTTCGAACGACAGGTTGGCCCAGATGCCGACAGCTCGTTGGAGGCCGGGGAGTACGGCATACCGTTTCAGAGCCTGTCCATGATCCTGCTGGGACCAGGTTCCACCGTGAGCCACGATGCTCTCCGGCTCATGGCTAGACACGGTACCGGGCTGGTCGCCGTGGGCGAGGACGGCGTGCGCTGCTACACGGCGCCGCCCCTGATGCCCGATACCTCGGACATCGCCCGGCGCCAGATGCGGGCCTGGGGCGACCCCACGGGCAGCCGCATCACCATCGCCCGCAAGATGTACGCCCTGCGCCTGGGCGAGGTGCTGCCCCAGACGGACATCAACGCGCTGCGGGGTGTAGAAGGAGCCCGAATGAAGCGCACCTACCAGAACCTGTCCCGGCAGTACGGGATCCAGTGGCGAGGACGGCGGTATGATCGGGCCAATCCCACTGCGGCGGACATCCCGAACCAGGCCATCAACCACGCGTCGGTTGCGGTGACGGCTGCGGGCCGTGATTGCGGTCACGTCGCTGGGCGCCATCCCGCAGCTGGGGTTCATCCACGAACATAGCGGCGAAGCGTTCGCCCTGGACATCGCCGACCTGTTTCGCGACACGGTCCTGCTGCCGGCCGCGTTTAGGTCCGCCGCCGAAGTGGCGCAGAATCCCAGATTGGATGTTGAAAGACACACGCGGCGCACGGCGGGGGAATTGCTGCGAACGGAGCGGGTAATCCCAAAGATGATTGACCGTATCAAGACGCTGTTTCAGGATGTGCGACCAATAGAGGAACTGCCTGATGGTGAAAATGCTGGGTACGGCACCCTGATGGACGGCTGGCCGGACGAGGAAGCTGGAACGGAGGAAGCCTGATGACGGTGGTAGTCACGGTGAATGTGGAAGGGCGGTACCGCGGGTTCCTGGCGTCGGCGATGCTGGAGATAGCGCCAGGAGTGTACACATCGCCGGAGATGACCAGCGGCATCAGAGACCGTATTTGGGATGTGCTGATGCGGTGGCATGGAGAAATAGGCAACGGCTCCATAGTGATGACGTGGCGGAACCCCGCAGCGCCGGGGCAGCAGAGCATCCGAAGTCTGGGCGATCCGCCAAAGGAGATCGTGGATGCTGACGGCGTGTACTTGGTAAGATACGGGTAGCTACCTTCCCTTGGCTAATGATTGCGGATAAGGAATATCAATTTGCCAAGGGGTTCCCCCGCACGCGCGGGGATAGACGATTGGGGAGTTTGCAGGGGAACCACCGGTTGCCGGTTCCCCCGCACGCGCGGGGATAGACCTTGTCGGCCCGCTCGAAGTTGATGTTCAGCTGCGGTTCCCCCGCACGCGCGGGGATAGACCGGAACTGTGGACCAATCTCCGCCCGAAGAGCGGTTCCCCCGCACGCGCGGGGATAGACCCCATACCCGCTGCGATGCCTCGTGCCGCTGCGGTTCCCCGCACGCGCGGGGATAGACCCGGGGTAGCGCTTACCCTGTCCCTCTGGTAGTCGGTTCCCCCGCACGCGCGGGGATAGACCATAGGCTAGGGCGGTTGGCACGGCGCGTTACTGTGGTTCCCCCGCACGCGCGGGGATAGACCTCATGGTTCATCACAGACGGGCTAGGAGACGGTTCCCCCGCACGCGCGGGGATAGACCCGACACCAACGGGAGGAACCGGCGTTGACCTGGGGTTCCCCCGCACGCGCGGGGATAGACCGTCAAACAACGGGTCGCCCGCCAGCATCATGGCGGTTCCCCCGCACGCGCGGGGATAGACCCGCCCGTTCGTAGGCGCGTCGTCAATGCTGCGGGTTCCCCCGCACGCGCGGGGATAGACCCTGCAGGGTGTCCTGGATCGGCACCGGTGAACGGTTCCCCCGCACGCGCGGGGATAGACCCGCAGCTCGAGATCCCCGACGATGCGTACGAGCGGTTCCCCCGCACGCGCGGGGATAGACCCCAGGCTGGGCTGTCCGATGCCCGCCACAATCGGGTTCCCCCGCACGCGCGGGGATAGACCCCCTGACCCGCTGGATCACCCAGGCCAGTGATCGGTTCCCCCGCACGCGCGGGGATAGACCGGTCAGGGTATGGGTGGTATTGGCCGATATTTCGGTCCCCCGCACGCGCGGGGATAGACCCGGTCGAAAGGGTGTCCATCATTTCCTTGCGGAGGTTCCCCCGCACGCGCGGGATAGACCCCAAATTTCCTTTATGAGGAACGCGCCAACCCGGTTCCCCCGCACGCGCGGGGATAGACCCTGCGCCGCCCTAACGCCCACGAGATGCCCGTGGGTTCCCCCGCACGCGCGGGATAGACCCCGCTATGTGGGGTGGTCGGATGATGTCGTCATGGTTCCCCGCACGCGCGGGATGACCGCACCGCACCGGGTCCGCTATCACCGCGCTTCGGGGATAGACCGTATGCAACCGTCGTGATTGACTCCCACCGTGGCCGGTTCCCCCGCACGCGCGGGGTATAGACCGTAGCTGGATCAGTGGTACGCGGAGGGCGGGATGGTCGCACGCGCGGGGATAGACCGCACGCAGGTATTGATGAACATCAATGAGGAGATCGGTTCCCCCGCACGCGCGGGGATAGACCTTCAAAGATCTGCGGAGGTGGACCGACCTGGAGGGTTCCCCGCACGCGCGGGATAGACCCCTCCCTACGATCGATGAAGCGTCAGCCTACTGGTTCCCCCGCACGCGCTGGGGATAGACCGGCGTGGATCATGGAGGCCATTGGACGGCCCACACGGTTCCCCCCGCACGCGCGGGATAGACCACCGAGTCGATGGCATCGACGGCATAGACGAGGTTCCCCCGCACGCGCGGGGATAGACCGCAGTTGGACGGCTATCGGACGCACTGCCGCTGCGGTTCCCCCGCCCGCGCGTGATAGCACCGCAGTTGGAGGCTATCGGACGCAATGCCGCTGCAGAGTTCACCCGCGCACGCGCGGGGATAGACCTTCCAGTGCATGACGCGCTCGCCGAGCTTCGTACGGTTTCCCCCGCACGCGCGGGGATAGACCCGTGGGGTTCACCATCCGGGCGAATCATGACCGTGGGTTCCCCCGCACGCGCGGGGATAGACCCTGACGCCGCCGGAGATCCAGTTGAAGATACCGGGTTCCCCCGCACGCGCGGGGATAGACCCATCGTCGGCAGCACGACCAGCCGCGAGATTCCGGTTCCCCCGCACGCGCGGGGATAGACCCGTTGCTGGGCATGGTTCGTTATCCTCCGTAGGGGTTCCCCCGCACGCGCGGGGATAGACCCTCCGCTCGGATCTCCGGCAAATGCCTGGCGCCGGTTCCCCCGCACGCGCGGGGATAGACCGACCTGCTGCTGACCGCGCCCGTGCGTCCGGCGGGTTCCCCCGCACGCGCGGGGATAGACATGGTCCAGACGCCCACGCCGTGGCCCGAGGTTCCCCCGCACGCGCGGGGATAGACCCATCCATGACCCTGATCGCGATACGGACGGGTTGGTTCACCGCCACGCGCGGGGATAGACCGTAGACGTGCGTGCGAGGCCGGAAGCGCGGGTTCCCCCGCACGCGCGGGGATAGACCGTTTCCTCGTGCGCCCCTTGCAGCTTGCCGAGGTTTCCCCGCACGCGCGGGATAGACCCGACGGCGTGGAAAGTGACCTCCAGTTGCCAGCGCAGCACGAACCATTCCAGGATCTGGCCATTCCAGGATCTGCGTCGGGTCTGCCGACGGGTCGGTGCACAGCAGGGCCTGGGGCGCGAAGGCGCCCTGTGGGTCTCGGATCAGCACCCAGCGAATGCGCACCGGGGGTTTGCCCGAGCGGTACCAGACTGCGGTCTGGGAGGTGAGTTCCACAGTGCGGGTGGCGCCGTCGTACCAGCCCACCGTGGCGCTGGTCCAGGTTACCTGAGGCTGGTCAGTAGCCGGGGGCTGCTCAAGGAGCGCTTTCAGCGAGGGTCGTCGTGCGCCCTTCAGCGCTGGGCGGCCGTTCTGACCCGGTTGACGGGGTGGCGCGGGCGCATAGAGGGCGGCATCCAGGCGCAGTCTGGCGATCAGGGTAACGGGTTCCGACAGGGACTGGCAGCAGTGCAGCAGGTCGAGCACAGCGTAGCCGTTGTCCCCCACCAGCACCAGCGGCCGCTGCGGCAGCCAGCGGCGCAGTTGCAGGACCATCTGGCGTGCCCAGTCGGTGAGCTTCTTGTGCCGACGTCCTCTCTCCTGATAGTACCGCGCCGATGGCGCCAGCACCGTGAGCACCGGCAGGGCCCAATGGCGTCCCGCCCAGGGCACCTGGCCCAGCCACATCAGGGAGATCCAGCGCAAACCACTGGCTTTGACCACTTGGGAGCGGCTGGAACGCACCGCATCACGGTAAACGCCCAGAGCGCCGATGCTACGGCCCCGACGCCGCTCCAAGGTTTCGTCGACGCCGAAGATCAGGGGGCCATCGCCGCGATCCAGGTGCTGGAGCAACAATACCAACAGAATACCCGCGGCCGCACGGGGCGACCACACCGCCCGGTTGAGCACCTCATGGTAGCGGGCGAAGTCGCCGTCATCGCTGCGACCCATGACCCGCAGCGCCGCGGCCACCGTGCGCTGGCCTGGCGCCAGTATCGCGCCCACCAGCAACACCTGCGCTTTGCGCCAGGTTGGGTTGCTGAACAACGTTGCGAAGGGAACGAGAACGGCTACAATGGCATCGGGCAGGGTGAGCATGGCTGGACCTTTCGTCGAAAGTGGGGTCAGGCCATCTTACCCTGTCCTTATTCTTTTCCTAAAAAATGCGCAAAGTCCAGTTTTCAGGACCGGCTGGTGACCGAACTGCGTCTCGCCGGCGCCAGCACCATAGACCAGGCCAATGCCATGCTCAGGGACTTCCTGCCCCGCTATAACACATGGTTTGCTGTCCCGGCCGATCTGCCGGAGCCTGCCTACCGCCCGTGGCACGGAAAGCGGCCCTTGGACGAAATCCTCTGCTTCAAGCGCACCCGCAAGGTGGCTCGGGACAACACGGTCAAGTACCAGTGGCGCACCCTGCAACTGCTGCCCAGCCGGGAGCGTCCCAGCTACGCCGGTGTCCAGGTGGAAGTCCTCGAACACACCGATGGCCGCCTCCAAGTACGCCATGAGGGTGAGATCATCCCCTGCCGGCCAGCGCCGCCCCGACCCGGTGCACTGCGCGCTTCCCACGGCGCTCTGGCTCCCAACCCAGAAATCGGCCGCATCGTGAAACGCCTGGGCAATCATCGCGTCAGCCAACCCCAGCTGCGACACCTGGCCAACCTGGAGCCCGATCCCGTCGTCGAGGAACCGGCGGTCGAGAACCATCACAGTGAACCTCCATCCCGCCGGGAACTCACCCCGCGACAGCTGGCCCTCTGGAAGGCGGTGCAGCAGGCCCAGGCCCAGGGTCTATCCCTGCGCGAGATCTCACGTCAACTGGGCGTACACCGCAACACTGTCCGCAAGTACGCCCGCTCCCTGACCCAGCCGACCAATCTCCCCATCAACCGTGGCGTCAGCGGATCATTTCAACCAGCCATCAACCGCTCAGACTGACAAAGTCGCTTTCCATTTAAACTGACAGAATCGCTGGACAACAACACCCGAATCGGCGATCGGGCCGCCCACGCGGTACATTTTCTCTCCGTCCTTTACACCCTCTTCCCACCGCGGAATATCGTCAACCCACGGCACACTTCCAGGAGGTGCGAAACCTGAGCGCCAATCCTGAAACCCTCGAACCAATCGCCGGCATCATCGGGGCCGAGCTCCCCAAGTACCTGCCCCACGACTTCGCCATCAACGACGTGAAGGCGGAGCAACGGACCGGACCGGATGACGAAGACGACGTCCACGTCGGCGGGAAC